CATTCCTTTGGTCATGCTTCTGTCAAAACTGAACATAAAATTTCAAGAAAAATTGAGAGAGTAATTTAGAAACTGATATGCTATTTACATCTCCCCTGGACTGAGTTGTCATGTAATGGTTTTACCCAACATCATTTGGTGATCTGTCATTATGTCCTCTTTTTTCTGCTTCTAAGCTGCAATGTTCCTGACAAGTGATTGACTACTTAAAAAAAGTTTCAAAAATTGGGCTGAGGGATTTATCTGTGTTGCTCTGTTTGACTCACAAAAAGCCATATGCCTTCTTGGGAATTATTAATATTCATATGGATGCAATATAACTTTTTACTTAATGTATTCTGATCCTTCGCCAGTTCTTTCAGACGTTTGCTGCTAATGGCTGCTGTTCCTATTGGGGTCAGTCTATTGCCTGAGAACCACCCTGTTGCTCTTCTGATTTCTTCTTTTGTCTCCTGAGTAGATGCCACTACTCAGGGGAGATTTTGGCCTGTGCATTGCATAAATATGCATTTAAAGAGGGACTGGGATCTTGCTTTTCTGAAATATTCTTGCTGTAAGAACAAAACCAAAAAAAAGTATTGATAAACAAGATGAAACCTAAGTGATGGATAGAAGGGCAGAGGAAATTTTAAACTGATCAGTAATAATATATGCATAATATACATACATATAATTCTCAGGTTCTGCCAAGTTTACTTATGGTTGATCTTGGTGGTTTAGCTAAATGGAAGATAAAAAATGTTGATTATGTAGCATGAAAATATAGCGTGAAAGTGCAAGGTGCTTTATGTTGTTCTTTCACTATGTTTTGAGCCTGTCTGGAAGAATGGAAAGGTTCTTTGCTTTCTGTTTGGTTTTTTTTTGTTTTGTTTTGTTTTGTTTTGTTTTGTTTTGGTTTTTTTTAACTAGAATGTTTCTACTGAGCATGTTCCTTTTTTTTTTTTTACTGTTTTCTATTAGAAACTGCAGTTGCACGAGATGTGGGGAGTCTGGGTTGAAATCTTATGTCAGGTTATAATAGGCTTAATGATCACAAAATTCCTTTCAGATTGTAACACCAGTGGTTTTTTGAAAATGAATTATTTAACTTCTGTAAGGAAGCATCTGGCTGAACCTGGATGGATTCACCCATGCATTTCTATGAGAAGCTGAGGTAAGACTTGGTGGAAATATTCGATAGCGTGTAAAGGTTTGTGTCTTTGCACATTGCTACATTTTTTCGTACTCTTGTGCTGAATTTTTGTTTCCCCTTTTCTCCAGAGGAGTTCATACTTCAGAGGAAAGGTAGTGAATCTTGCACACTGTAACTTCCTTCCTGAGAGCAGAAATTGCCAAAAGAACAATGCTGACTTAACACAAAACCCAGCAGCCTTTCTTCCTCACCACTCCTAAAATGTCAGGCTGTGCCTTACCAAATGGAAGATGCTGGAGTACATCTCTGAAGTCTCCTGATTTTCTTTCCTACTTTGTGGTCTGTGATGGGATCTGCTCAGACAAACACACAAACACTGAGGTGAAGCTGACCTTTTTCAGCCTCTCTCAGCAGACAGCCAATAACAGTTCCTCATCAAACACCAGTCTTTCCTCAGAAACAGAACTAGTTTCTTTTTCCCTATTAAAATTATATTTATTGCCTCCTGGTAGCTTTAGAGATGCTGAGTTGTTGTATACAGCAGAACCACAAGACATTACATTTCTCCTGCCTAAATAATAAACAAAAAATACTTTTCCATCTGCACATCTGGAGCTCCTGAACAAGGGAACAAGGAAATTTGGAAAGTCGAGGTTGCAGGTTCAAGCATTCCCATGTTGGGGAGTATTAGAAGGCTTTATTCCAAACTCAATGCAGGCATCTTTGCATATGGATAACAATTTACTGAGTAATTGACCATCTGCTGCTTTGTTGAGGCAGTCCTCTCTTTTATCCTACTTTCCTCACAACTTATGTCCTTCTCAGGCTCTCATTCTTTCCATGTTTTTGATCTAGATGTACCTACTGGCCTTCAAGTCCCACTGGCTTTGCTCACTGTTGTAATTCTTGTTCTCCTTTAATTCCTCGTGTACCTTTTAGACCCAGTGAGTTGTCAGTCTGCATCTGAGTCAGAACAACAGAAGCAGGATCCCACATCTCTATGTAGGTGCCCAGGGTTTTTGTTGCCTGCAAGAACAACAATTTTCAGGAAAAGACCCTAAAGGATATTTGCTGCAAATACAATATTGGGGAAGTTATCTCAAACCAGCCTCTCCTGAAGATACAGGAACTGAAATTTTTCCAAGGCCGTGAGCAAAAAGGGATGCAAACCTTCCATAAGAGCACCTTTTATTTTCCCTACCCTCTGTGTTTTTCTGATTCTTTTACCTATCATGAAGGAGAGAGCTTTTTCAAAGTAAATATCAGAATTTTGTCAGAATGCCCAAAGGTTGTGCACTTTAGGGGTGCAAACTTTCACAGACTAAGGGGGTGAAAAATGTGCCAATATTCCTTATAAGTTTAGTTTTCCTCTCTAGCAACAATTGAAAATCCACTATTTTCCATTTACAGGTTCTCTTCTTCCTAGAATTGTGTTGTTTCTTTTCAGGATTTCTTCAGCTGTTGCTGTCAGTTTGGGTACATTGATCCAGCATATAGTCAGGAATGGTGCAAAAGAAAGGACAGGTGCCCCCTGAAGAACATAGGCCCTATTTTCTACAGTTTTTGTCTATTATATGGAACTGAAGACATGGGATCTTCAGGTTCTTTGTGTATTCCAAGGTTGTAGTTATTTGATTTGCATGGTGTCCCAGCCAATTTTTTACAGTACTTTACTCTGGACTTTTTCATCATTTATTGATACAGATAAATCTTCTTTTTTAGTTTTTTCCTTTATTTCTAGTAAAGAGACAGTCATGTCTCCTTTTTATAAAAATAGTACTCCTGAATTGTAAGGTATGTCTCCAAAGGCCCTCACAAAAAAGTTACCTCGTAGGTCTCATATTTCCATGATAGAGAAAACTTCTACACAGTAGAGGAATTAGCTTAGAAAGCAAAGCTTATTCATTAACCTATTATTTCAAAATTACTCATGTGACATGATACAGTTCCTTATTTGCCACTCAGAACTTCCCTGTATCTGCCTGGTTGTAGGTCTTAAAAACTGAAAAGGATTTGTTAATCCAGTTCAGTGCTGAAGGGTTTTCTTGCAATGCACAGATTTCGTTTTCAGCATTAGTGTGAGGTGAAGGGTAGAAGGGAGTGAAACATTTGACCATGGCTGGCTACCTGTTCCTGATTTTTCTCTTTTCCTTTAGTACATCTCTTCAAATGTCTGGTAAGTCTTTGTCCTCTGCTGAGTGCTGAGGTTTGCAAGTTCTTTCTCATGTTTTTCTGATGTTCTCCTTGGTGGATGGTGAGTTTAGATCTAGTCACCGCCATCATTTGAAACAGTTTTATTCAACTCTTAAGTCTGGATATATTCTGTTTCCTTACCCCAGTTTTCAAGGTGGTGTATGAATGAAAGAAATACTCTAACAGGTGTGGGCATAACCTAGATTGTGTTCTTGAAAATTGGCCCTACAAATGCAGACAAAAACTAATCTGAAATTACACCACTGGAGATTAGAAAAGATCAGAAGTACAGGGCTGTATCCTCTCAGTACGCACAGAAATATTGGCTGATGTATGCTTTGAGTTTCTTAGACAGCTCATATATTGCATATAGGCTATGACATATTGATGGTTGCGTATTGGAATCCTGTTTCCAAGATGATGGGTTTAGGAAACACCTTGAAAGTTTCTGTCTGTTAGATTTCAGACATGCCTTCTTCTCAGGGAAAAACAAATGTTGCTGTGTCTGCAGCTCTTTCCCACAGGAAACTCCCAACTATCAGTCACAGAACTGTGGGAGTCCAGTGCTATGAATGGCAGCAGGGACTAGCCGACACTGATCTAATCCACTACAGGATAATTTTTTCTGTTCATGTTCTTGGACAAGACCAAGCTGGCTCTAACCCATCCTCTGCTGACCTTTTCAAGAACCACTGCAGCAGGTGACTTGTGCCAGGGGAAATGCCATCTGGCTCGTTCAGGTCTGCAGACTTTCAGAGAAAAATGACAGTCTGTTCAACTACCCACTGGCAGTTCTGAGGGGTTGTGAAGCTCCGTTTAACTATCCCACCCCTGGCAAGAAACCTTGGATGGCAGTAAAGCTCAGTGGCACAACAGAGCAGGCTGGATGATGTTGTCAATTTGAGGGATGTAATTCAAGCTGCAGCAATGGTCAAGGTTTGGAGCAGGCTGAAGTTGTGTGCCTTTTTTGAAGCTGGTTTAAGAAACAAGACTGTTGTGTAGTGTCTCACATTTCTATTTACAGCTGTAGCTATTCATGGCACCTAGGATACTTAGCTTGACAGTGCTCAGAACTGAAGTGTTGATGCTGCAAGTTGTGGTTTCCCTCCTGAAAAACTCACAAGTGGAACTCTGTGAAGAAAAGACATTTTGCAGTTGCCAGAAATTCCCAAAATAATTCACCAAAAATGAAAAATACTCCACTTGCTTGATGAGCTGAAAACGACAGTCATTCCGAGCCAAATATAAAAATGGTTGGATTTCGAGTATGTAAACCAATTCTAATAGTTCTAAAGAAAAAAGAGTCCTTTTACTTACAGAAGTAAAGCCTGTTTAATATCTTGTGTGGTGGTGGAATCCCGTAGAACTCACGAAATTTAATGAAGGTAATTTTTGAATGTCATTTTGAGAACAGTGTGCTTTAAGGAGGGATGTGAAGAAAAGCAATTTCTCTTGAAAGAGCTATATTTTCAGCTTCTGTGTTGCTTGCATCTTAAGAACATTTTGATGAATAACCTTTGTACTGATGATCAACCTCCCTTTATTTCTTTCTCTGTGGACTCTATATATTTAGGTTTTTGTTGTAGCAGACGGTCAAGTAACAAGTAACAGACTTGTTTCTTACAAAACCTTTCCCCATACATTTGCATTCTCATTTTATTTTATAGATAGTGGAATATTTTCCATCTATAATGAAGACAGCAAGCTCTGTGCAGAAGCTCAAAACTCTAGCTCAGTCATAACTGCTGCCTGTGATGAGCACAACGAGTTTCAAAAGTTCAAGTGGGTCTCTGCCATGCAGCTGCTGAGTGTGGCACTCAAGCTGTGCTTGGGAGTACTCACCAAGGACAATGAGGCCGCTGTCACTTTGGAATCCTGTAACAGGACAAACGACCTCCAGTGGTGGGAGTGTAGAAATGAGACGCTTGCAACCCATGGCAAGGATTTATTTTTCAACTATGGCAAAGGGAAGGGGAAGAAAATCAGGTTGTCCAAAGGATCAGGCAAAGGGAGCAGGTGGAAAATTCATGGAACTGCAGACAGCCTGTGTTCTCAGCACTATGAGGGTGAGTACTGGGAATTAACCTTTATTTCTAGGTAACTTGCTTGCCCCTATATACAAAGCATTCCACCAACCACGTGTCATGCAGCAACTTTTTTCTTGCAGTGACATCAGTAAAGGAGCTGCCTACAAAGAGGCCATAGAAATGCAAGGGAAATATGGCAGTATATCTTTCTGCATAACTTAGGAAGTGCAGTTCTTTCAAATGGTAGAATAAAATGGCAAAGGCCCATGACGTAATCATGAGGGTGAATGGGAATTCTTTTTTGTACAGCAACAGTGGGAGGAAATCTGTGACTATTTCAAAATATGTCTGATCAATCTGTAGAAGTGCTGGTTGTGTTATATTTTAATATTTATTGTTATTACCTAGTTTGACAATGTATTATCTGTAAGAAGTTAATTTCTGGTTAACACAGACATAATCCACTCTAAAGAGTTTTCCAGGCCCTGCAAGAAGAAAAAGTAGAAAAAAGCAAAAGGAAAAAGGTCCTAACACTCTGACAGGAGCACTGGGGGTCAGATCTTATTTTCCTGCATTATTATCCCTCTTGGGCTATTTAAAGTGGGCATCCAGGCTCAAGTGTTCAACCTCCTTTCTACTGTGACACTGGTAGGGTGGGAAGTTAAATGGCAAGGAATGAACTTTTTGCTATGCTCTACAACAGTTTCATCTGGACTGAAGTGTGTCAAACTTTTGTTCAGATAGCAACAAATTAGACTGCACAGATGGGAGGGTCACTTCCTAGCATAGTTTAAGATACAACCTCCTCTCACGAAGACAAAAATATTCTGATATTTCCTTTCCAAGCCTCTTCAACCATACAGGGAATAAAACCAACCAACCAACCAAACCCCTAAGCATTATCCAAGGACAGAAGCATGTATGCAATGGGAGAAGCTGAGTCACGAGCGCCTCTAACATGGTAGTCCAGATAGCGATGAAATGAAAAAGTTTGACAGAAATTAGTGTGAGGGCCATTTAATGGTGATTTGAGAGTCTTAATCCTGAATATCTTGCCATAATCATAATCATACCTGATTGGCACGACAGCCTTGGATGTCTTTGTGATAATGAAGTACCAATGTGTTGAGCTCTAGCAGAACTGAGTTGTGTCTGTGGAGAGCTGCCTACAACCAGACATTGTGGTGAACATCTGATACCAGCTGACTCCCACTGATCTATGTTTCTCTCTGTAGATATCTATACATTGGGAGGAAATGCATTTGGTGCACCTTGCTTATTTCCTTTTAAGTTCAACAAGAAATGGTACGCTGAGTGCATCCCTCGAGACGATGATCCAGGCTCTCTCTGGTGCGCAACTTCTTCAGATTTTGATAAAGATCAAATTTTTGGAAATTGTCCACTAAAAGGTAATTTGCTTAAAGCCTTTGCTGAAATCTTTATAAATAAAAGTTTAATTCACTCTTATGGTCAAAATCTCCTTGGGATGTGGAATTGGCATTAGACAGCGAGCTGGATTCTGGGTAGCTTAGGTCACTGTTGAGATCTGCAGTGATAGAGTGAGGTCTCTGTTTTTCACTCTCACTATTTCTCCAGCAGAGATGAGGAGGGGTTCTACAGTGCTCCTGAGACTGGTATGTATGGGGAATATTCTGAGGGTGGTGACTGGGACTGATGGAAAAAGGAAGAGAAAACCCCTAGGACTAGGTGAGAAGAAAGTCAGGGCAAAGGAAAGGCAGGAAGAAATGTAGTGGATGAGGAAGGTGAGATATAGGGAAGCAGGAGACAGAGGTGTATCATACAATGGATCAGAGAACAGGAGGGCTGGAGCAAATGGAAGGATGCAGGGCACAGGCAGTGACCTTCACTTGTCTTTGGTCCTCTAGTGCTCCTTACACCTATAAATCTTCTGACACAGCTTTCCAATAACTCCAGCACAAATTCCTGACCCCTTCACCCCAAATTCACATCTGATTATTTGGAAACAATAATTTCTTTCATGTTGGGAGGTCTGGAAAAGTGTAAGAGAGGTCTCAAGGTAAAAAATCCATGCAGAGACCAAGCTATTCTGTATGGGAAATAGAGAAATATGTGTGTACAGGTAGAATGTATCAATGAGTGGGTTTATGTGGACTGAACTGTGAGCGAAGTAGAGGAGTTACATAAATGAAAAGGAACAGAGTCAATCTAGAAAAATTAAGTTTATAAAGAGAAATATTTCTTTATATGATTAATATATTAATATTGAACAAAGTATATTTAAGTGAGGCAAACAATATGCAAAAAATTAACAAATCATACAGTTACATAGTTTTAGTCTGCAATGAAGATTTTATGTTCTGTGTTAACTAGCATGATTAGCTTGTCAAGTTAATGTTATCATGTTTCATAGACACCATCCATAACAAGCTTTGGAAGACAAACCCTGTGACAGAAACCCACTATCAGATAAACTCTAACTCACTTTTGACATGGCATCAAGCAAGAAAAAGCTGCCAGCAACAGAATGCAGAATTATTAAGTGTCACAGACCTTCACGAAGAAATGTATTTATTAGGTAAAGTAAAATAAACCTCAAACAAATTAATGCATAAGCTTAAAATGTAGGTCAGCTCCAAGACCTTTTACATGGATACTTACATTTACCTTGTGAAAATAGGTGACATGCTTAAAAAAGCTTATCTCTTTTTCACCAAAAAAAAATGTTACAATAGCAGAAAAAAAGCTAACCTATATTAAAAAAAGAAAGATATCTGCTATGAGATTTTTTCTCTTTCTGTGCTATAAAATTTATTTTGGGCTTTATTGACTGACTCACAAAATCGGAGGCATTTAGTAACCTGACTGTTTATTTCGGCCATTTAGGGCTCACTAGTGACCTGGGTATCAATGCAAAGCTCTGGACTGGTCTTTTCAGTGCACTTGACAGTGGCTGGCAATGGATTGGGGGCAGTCCTTTCAGATACCTAAACTGGGCTCCAGGTAAGTGTACTTTCCTGAAACAATTATCGGTGTCTGGGCCAAAATTATCTTCTCTACCCTTCTTCAAATTCCCGCTACCTAATTCTTTTGCTTTCATACAATTTTCACAGGTTACAGGGGATTATGGGAAAAGAAAGATATTACAGTAATAGGGATCACACCAGAGATGGATAATGATTAATTCTGAATTTCCCAGAAAAAGCAGATAGTTCATCCAGTACAACAAAGACAAGTATCTATACCTCATTCTATTTTTTTTTCATCCATAATTTTCTCATTAGGCATATTATTCAATTCGAACACAAAAACATAATGAAAAATTATATAAAGATAACTTAAAGAAAAGAGAAAAAAAGAGAGACATTGCATAAAAATGTTCTAAATCATTCTCAGTTACTTCTTATGAACTTTGTCTGACATACTTTTTCTTAATAAATTTCCACTCTTAGGATCTGTTTCACCATCTTGCAAGTTCTCATGCTATGTATTTTCATAACAGTAGTTGACTACAGGTACATTCAAGGGGCGAGCACTCTTGTGGAGTTAAACATGCATTTCATGTCCAGTGTTCAACAGTAAAGGATGCTGAGTTGTTTGCAATACTATCACCCCATAAGGAACTGTGTCTTAGATGAGCTTTTACAAAGCTTTTTTTTTTTTTCTGTATGCTGCCATACTTCAAATAGATTGAATTTCTTCTTAAGCATGGGAGGAGCAAGTCTCATGTTTCAAATGTCAGTCCTCTTGGCTATCCCTGTGGTCCCTTCTTGCCTCTCTTGGGAATGATCACTCTAAAGAGTAATATGCCCCTGGCTTTGCAGCTGCAAAAGACTTGTGCACTTCCTCCTGTGATCTGGTGAAATTATTCACTGTTAACAGAGTTAACAGAATTAACAGAGTTTTCCTCTTTCATAAAGGAAATCCCTCTGTGGAATCTGGAAAAATATGTGGGACCTTTCAAGGTAGGAACGGTAAATGGGAAAACCAGATGTGTGATCGGAAACTGGGATATATCTGCCAAAAGAGAAACTCTTCTATAGATTCCTCCAGTACTCCCTCAGGTAAGTTGGACAAAAAATAAGGCTGATTTAGCAGTGAATGAGAAATACTGGGAGGATGCCATTTATGAAATGACAATATATTGTCATAACAAAAGGATTACACTTGTTGAACTGAGTCAAACGGTGAGAAGACTTTAATTATCTGGCTTATTCTAAAGATGATGTCTAGATGTTATTCATAATTTTGAAAAGATCCCAGGGCAGTAAAGAAAGCAGGATTATGTATTTAGCCACATTATCCAGACTGCAAAATACTGACGAATATCAGTATTACTTTGCTCTGAAATACACAGTAAAGATGTATCCCACAAAAAGATGTGAGCCAAATTCTGTAGGTGTACGCAGACGATGTGAAACCCCCGAGCAGTAGAAGATGGTTGGCCATACTAAATTCACACCAAGAGATAGCCACTGAACAAAGTGTCTGGCATTTTTGTGCAGCTGGGATTTATGACATCGCTGCTATCGCATAAATGTGTCTGGGTTCTGTGATGTATGATTTGGGCTGTGCAGGTGCTCCAGGTGGCTCCTGAGCACCTGATGTTTCCAGAGAAAAAACATATAAAATCTCCAATAATCACCAAGATAAAGTCCCTGGGTAAGAAAAGAGGCCCTTTTCTGTAAACCATGGCTATACCTAGAGCCTCACTGAGGGGAATTTAACAGAGAGTTGTGCCCTGCAAGTTAGCATGCCAAATTACTTAGTTTTTGTTTAACCCAACTGGGAAGGAAAAATCTGTTTTGTATTCTTAGTGTTCCTCAGACTTTCGCTTCTCTCCTCTGACAGTATGTGCTCCAATATTTAAACTCATGTCAGTACAGGCTATTTTCTTTTTGTTTAAAATAAAGCACTGAGCAAGACTGTTAATTAATTGTTTGAAATAACTTTTTTAGGTAAATTAAAGCCTATTAAATGTCCCAGGGAGTGGGTGGCCTATGCAGGCCATTGTTATAGAATTTACAGAACACCCAAAATATGGAAAGAAGCCCAGACTTCCTGTAGAAAAGAAGAAGGAGAGCTGGCGAGTATTCATAACACTGAGGAGTACAGTTTTGCGGTGTCTCAGCTTGGGTACAGTGAGTATTCCTGAAGGTCACTTTTTAATCTGGAATTATACTGTTGCTATTATTAACTTAATCATTATAACCATGATCTTAAATGTTTTTAAAAAGTTCTTCTTCAGTCAAAAGTTTGTGTGAAATGTGATTGTTCCACTTTAACACACAGCCATACCTACAATTACCTTTGTTTTCTCAGAGCCCGATGATGAGCTGTGGATTGGTCTAAATGACTTCAGGGTTCAAATGTATTTTGAATGGAGCGATGGGACACCTGTGACTTATACCAAATGGCATCATGGAGAGCCAACTCACACACAGAATAAGGCAGACTGCATCGTTATGAAAGGAGAGGTAAAAATCACTCTCACACTTTCATCCTTTCTTCTGTCCTCTGTGCCCCTCAAAAGGAAATATCAGTGACAAAAAAAAAAAAAAAAAAAAAAAAAAAAAAAAAAAAAAAAAAAAAAGACAAGTGCTTTAAAGGTTTTATGCAGTTGGTTTAATTCAGAATGTCTCAGTGTGGAGGGAGAGTGGAGACCAGATCTAGGCCAAGTGTATGGTGGAGCACCAGAAGCAGTACGCTGTGCTGAGACATGGTCTGCTCTGCAACAGTGAAGATAAATCTCCCATCTGAAATTGGCTGAAGTAACTCATCATCCACATTCAACGTAGCTGATCACAGCTGCATAATACGATTCTTGGAACAGGGATTTTCCTATGTTTCCCCTAAAACATGGGTTTATTAGAACTTTGGAGGCTCATGTTACGGGAGTCACAGAAAATGAGGTACAAAAAAATCCACCTTGTTTTATACATAGCATAAACCAACATATAATACTATGGAAAAAGACATAAACAATACATTTTTTTTCCTATTTTATGTTTCATTTATCCAGCATTTCCTTGCTACTGTCATCTGTTTATCCGAACAAAATAAATACTATGCTGGCAAGAACAGAGTAGATCATGTTTTCTTCCTGCTCTCATCAGCCACTGAATCTTTAATACCTGCTACCCTCATTCTCACATCTCTGAGGAAAGTGTCCCTTACTGTCGTTATTGTGTTCCCTATTTGGGAGTTTTGGAGAAAGCAGCAAGGCAAGGAAGAGAGCAGAAATAGCCTAAGCCATATGAAGAGTGAAGGGTTCTCTCTGAGGATGGTGAACATTCCTGTTGGATCTGGATTTTCTCCAGATTTCACTTCTTTTTGTCATTTCTTCTTACCATGCTCAGGACGGATCCTGGGCTGACAGCGCTTGTGAAACAAAACTTGGTTACATCTGTAAAAGGAAACCCTTGGCAGAAGAACCAGGGAAAGATGAGGTTACTCACCCAGGCTGCCAGAAAGTAAGTGTAAAACAAAAGCAGCAAAAGATTGTTGCATCTTACTTGCACTCCCATGGTGGTATCACAGAAGTCAGTAATTTTGACTGTTCTTGGTGGAGCCCTAGAAAGCTGTTAATTCTGCATGTATTGGTACTTCTCGGACTAATAGGGAAATTTTTAATTTATTTATCCAAAATGTAGATTGATTTCTTTTTTCATTCCCTTACATGCACATTTCACTCAGCTCTCTCCTAGTGCAGAACTGACCAATCCACCACAGGAGGCAGGAATATTTGAGCCCAACGTTTGGCTGATTTTTTGTAGCCTCTTGCAACAGCTACACTTACACAATGAGCGGGCAGAGCAGGCTTTACAGAAGAAGGAGCTACAAAGTGGCTGCGAGTGTGCTTGCCAGTTCCAAGTCATAACCATGGCTCACGGCTCGCAAAGACGCCTTGTGTGTTCTTTATCATGGGGCAAGGCACAGAGCTGAGGTTACAAAAGCTATGTTTGATTACCCTCATTTATTTTCATGGCTCCTGAGATTAATTTTGACTTTGGGTGTAGTATTCATGTGGCTTTTGGAAACGTACTGTGGTGTGCAATCTGACAGCATCTTTCCTGCTGATGAAGCATGGCTTTTACTGCTACTCCATGGCACAGTTACCAGCAACATTTTCAGAAGCAAAACAAATCTGTGAAGAAAACAAAGGTTACCTGGCTACGGTGAGAGATAGGTATGAAAACATAATTGTTGTCCTTTCATACATGCAACCAGGATGGAAGGGCTAAACAGAAATCTGTTACTTTGCAGTTACTCATAGTGTCTAGTGTGACTGAAGTGCTGGGGTTAAACCCCCAGCTCTGAATGAGGATTGACATATGGGTGATGTCCACAACCAGGCAGGAAAGACCCTCCTGATTGGTTTTCACCCAGGGTCTGGCCAGCCTTGGGTGGGAACCAATTAGGAGATCACCACCAGGTGCCCTTACCTTCAGTGTCAACTTCAAGTGTCACACCTCCAAGTTAACAGCATAAAAGCTGGCTCTGCCTGTGATGGTATTGGAGGGGAGTTTAGTTATTTGGTGAATGTACTGTGTAGGATTTCTAGTTATTAGAAGGGCAAAATTCTGTAGGCAGATCCCTCAGTGGAGGCAGGACACCAGTACAGCTGGGAGCAGAGGAAGGAATAATAGCATCATTAGTTGGACTGGTTGCTTGGGTCCTTGGTCTGTTCGTTCCTGCACCCAGCATTGTGAGTGAATTTATAAACCTTTTCATTCTCTCACTGGTGGGCCACCTTGGATCCGTTGCAAATGATTTAAGACCAGAGGGAGAGATCTGGTTTGTGTGTTGCCCATTAATGATATCCTTCCTATTGGGACAAGCAGTCAGCAAAAGGTGTGACAGCAATCCTTTGCTGGAAAATTTATGGTAGAACCATTGCTGCTACACATCTATACTGTTGTTGACGCCAGGAATTAAAAACTGAGTCAATCCCCCAACAACCCCAGATTGACGGATTGTTTTAAAAATTACTGAACTAAAAATAATTAGATAAACATGGAACCACGTATTTCTTCTGGATTTGAGCTTTTCAGCCTTTTCTTTGCAACAGGCAGATCAGGAAACTTACCCTTTTTAGTATAAAAGTAGATGTATTTTTTTTTTTCCCCAGAGTAACAAGATTTAAGGATACAGACTTTATCATAAAACTCAGTAAAACACTGCAACACTTATTTATACAGAATGAATAACACGTATGCATTAGCACAGGTATTGTTCATCTTGTGTTGCTTATTTTGCAGCACAAAAGGAAAACAGAATGAATCACTCATAATATTATTCACATTATTGAAAATATAAAATAAAAATTAATTTATGTGGCAATTAGAACAACAAAAGTGAGAGTAACAAGTTACCTTTGTTTCAATCCATACTCACCTTTTCCCACATATTAACAAATCACTTTAACTTTACTAAATTTGCTACAGTGGATTGTTTGAAGAAATGAGCAAATTATGATAAAATGCAGTCACCAGTTTGGTACTTATTCTTCACAGATATGAACAAGCATTTTTCACTTCTGTAATTGGATTCAATCCAGCCAAGTATTTCTGGATTGGTCTGTCAGACGTGGAGGAGCAGGGGACATTCAAGTGGGCCAGCGGGGAAGCAGTTACCTTCACCCACTGGAATGCAGGAATGA